CGCCCCTGGCCCACGCGCTACCCGCCAGCGGCCCATCCTGGGAAGCACGGACCTCCGCCTGGCCGCCGGGTACTGGGGCGCCACTTCCGGTTCGCGTCGCTCAGGTGACGCACTTCCTGCTCCCGTCCTCACGTGACCAGGCTGCTACTCACGTGACCGCCTGGCGGTGAGATGGCTGCGCTGCTGGCTGTGTTCCTGCTACAGCTCGGGTTGGCCGTGCGTGGTTAGTGTCGCCAATACCGCCCCCTGGTCCAATTCCTGCACCCTCTATCCTCCCGTCCCCCGAGCTTCCCCGCTCGCTTCCTCACCGCCTCCCTACCTGTAGGGCCCGCGCCGACAGGTGCCGCTAAGATGAAGGTCGTGGAGGAGCCCAACGCATTCGGGTGAGCGCCTCAAGGGTTGGGCGTTTCGGTCCAGGGGGCCTCCAATGCAGTCCCCTGACTTGTCATGTTCCGTAGGCTGAACAACCCGTTCCTGCCCCAGACTAGCCGCCTGCAGCCCAAAAGAGATCCTTCGCCCTTGACAGGTGAGTCTGGAGCCCATCCGCCAGTGAGCGGGCAGCTGGCTTGGATGCCAAGACCCGGTCTCCATCTTCAGCGGGTCGGGGAGAGCCCTCGGGTTGGGAGGGAAGGGTGGCCTTTGATGAGAGACCCTGAGTTACTACCTGGAGGCTCGTGTGTTCGTTAACCTGTGAATGTCTAAGTGTGGGAGACTGTATCAGAAGGTTCTCGTACCCAGCTAGGTTGGCCCCAGACCTAGTCCTTCATTCAGTCTTCTACAGTTAGGCGCCGTTAAGAATTTGGTGTTTAGAGCCGGGGATTTAGCTTAATGGTTCTGTCGCCTGCCTCACAAGTGTAAAGACCCGAGTTCGACCCCGGTACCAAAAAAAAAAAAAAAAAAAAACTTGGCGTTTATTTCCAGAGGGGTTTCTGTGCTTGCTTAAGTGTGTAAGTAGAAAACGTTTTTTTTGTTTGGTTGTTTTTTTGAGACAGGGTTTCACTATGTAATTCAGGCTGGCCTAGAGCTATGTAACCCAGGATGGCCTCAGCCTCCTAAGTACTGGGATTATAGGCGTGTGCCATTATGCCCGATGCTACCCCCCCGCCCCGCCCCCCAAATTAGTAAATAGTACTATTTCGGTGACTACCTAATCTGTCTTTGTCATTACTGTCATTTACCACTCACTGTGTGCCTAGGAGCTCTTCATGGTCCTATGTATAGGTCATCATTCTTTTTGCTTAGTATTTTGCAGGATGACTTTATATTCCTTTTTAGTTAGTATTTAGGTGGCTTACATTTTGGGGTTATTAGAAATAGTGCCATGAAGAACATCCTTGTAGATGACTGTCTGCCTCGTGCAAGCGGCTATCACAGAATCCCAGAGGTGGAAGCCTGAGACATAGAACGTGCACTTTATTTGTTGGGTTTTTGTTTTTTTCTAGTACGGAGGATCTAACTCAGGACCTTGCACTTGCAAGGCAGTCACAGCACCACTGAGCTAAATCCCCCGCCCTGGTTTTTGTTTTTTTGGTACTGGGAATCGAACTCAGGACCTTGTGCTTGCAAGGCAAGCGTGGTGCTGCCGATCTAAATCCCCAGCCCCTGGTTTGATTTTTTGAAACTGAGTCTTGCTATGCAGTCTTCCTGCATCAGCTTCCCTAGTGCTGAGATTTCAGGAATGTGCCTACATGCCTGGCTGAGTGCATGCATTTTAAATATTAAGTGTAAGACACAAAAAAACCAAGAATTTTCTTACTGAATACCTCTATGTGTTAGCTCTATGGTGGACTTTTGTGGATTTGTGTTGTTTTGGTTTTTTGCACCAAAGATCAAACTCAGGAGCTTGCGCTTGAGAGGCAGGTGTGGTGCCACTGAGCTAAATCCCTGTTTCAGCTCTATGCTGGATTTGCAGAAGGAAAACATCCTGGGACAGAGGTCACAGGCAGTGCTGCATCTTTTGTTTCCTGTCACAGAGGAGGGATTTTTATGTTTTGTATACTGCCTGTTTCTCCAACACTACGGCATTTTATTCTCCCAAGTTGTGAGTGTCTTTAGCAGCACGTATGAGTCTTGTTACCAGAGGAACCAGCTGCGTTGTTCTGCTCTGCCCTTCATTCATGGGCAAGCAGCTTCCGGGGCCTTCATCACCTTTGTTCCTTTAGGTATTTGTCCTTTCATGTGTAGTGTATTTTGCTCAGCATATTGTCTTCAAAGTCTGTTCACACTGTTGCAGGTATCAGAGTATCACTTTTTTTTTAATGGTACTGGGGATCGAACTCAGGACCTTATGCTTGTGAGGCGGGTGCCCTGCCACGGAGCTAAAGCCCCGGCCCAATTGAGCATCACTCTTTTTATGGCTGAGTAACATCCCACTAAGTGGCCAGAGCACATGGTATTTCCATTTGTCTGCTGTTTCCACCTCGAGTCTGTTGTGACTAATACAGCTGTGAACGTGATGTTCCACTATCTGTTCCACTCCCTGCTTCCAACATGTTAACTGAATATCTTAGTTATACTTTCCTCGTGGCTATGAGTCAATCCCCAATATCCATGACTTGAAAGAGGTTTATTTTGGCTCACAGTTACAGTTCAAGGTCACCTGGCACCAAAGTAGAGTGGTATGGCAGAGCATTAACAGAGAAAGCGCTACTCACATCAGTGTCCAAGGAGCAGCCAGGAAGAAGATACAAACCTTCCTGCTCACACCCCCACAGTGACCTCTTCTGGCCAGGCCTCACCTAACAGCAAGACAACTACAGTGCCCCTATATTTCAGTCACATTTCAAAGATCTTGTCCATAATCACATGAGGCTTTAGGGGGACATCTAGATATAAACTACAACACTGAGAAACTGCCATACTGCGATTGTACCATTTTAGGTACCTGCCAGCAGCACATCAGGGTTGTCTTTTGATGCACAAGTACTTTCATTTTGGAGTCGGGAATTTAGCCTGCCTTGCAAGCTCAAGGTCCCAAGTTCAATCCCTGGTACCAAAGAAAAAAAATTTCATTTTGGTGGCCTGTAATCTCAGCAATTGGGAGGCTGAAGCAAGAGGGTCATCAGGAGTTCAAAGCCAGCCTGAACCATATAGCAAGACATTGTCGTCCCCCCCCCAAAAAAGAAGAGGGTCGTGTTCTGTTTCCCTGGGCACCAGTGATCTTCCTGCCTTAGCCTCCCAAGTAGCTGAGATAAAGGGAGCCACAATTTTGCCCAGCTAGTCTGCTGGTGTATGGTTGAGGACTTTAGTCAGTTATCAGGATGTTGGGCTGCAGTTTCTCTGTGGTGTCTTTCTGGCTTGGTATCAGTAATGTTGGCCACATAGAATGAGTGTTCTTCTCAATTGTCTGAAAGATTGAGGATTGTTAGTTCTTTATAAAATGTTTGGTAGAAATTGCTGGTGAGCTAGCTGCTCAGTCCCATCTGGAGATTTGGGTTATGCTTACTCTACTCTCTCTCGTTCATTTTAGATGCTCGCTCTGCATGATTCAGCCTGTGAAGCTTTGTTTTCTGATACATCATCACTTTCATTTAGGTCATCAGTTTGTTGGTGTATAATTTGTTCTTACTGTTTTCTTATCCTTTACTATTTCTATAAAAATGGGAGCGATATTCACCCTTTCATTTCTGGTTTAAGTGATTTGAGTTGTCCTTTTTGTCCAGTGAGTCCATTTTATCTTTTCTAAAAACCAACTTTTGATTTTACTTCTTTTTCTCTATTTTACTTATCTCTGCTTTACCATTATTTTCTGCCTTCTCCTTCCTGTGGATTTAATCATTTTTCTAGTTAACACAAAGGACACCTCAATGACAGATTTGTTTGTATTTATAGTTGTACATCACCCTCTTACCTGGCCTGTGCTGTGTTCTGTAAGTCTTGAGATGTGTTTTCATTTTGGTCTCACGTCATCTTCTAATTCTCACTCATTGTGTTTTTTTTTTTTTTTTTTGGTACCGGGGATTGAACTCTGGTCTTTGCGCTTGCAAGGCAGGCCACCGAACCGCTGAGCTAAATCTCCGGCCCGTGATTTCTTTTTTGACCCTCTGCTTAAAAATGTGATAATTTCTTTTTTTCTTTTTTTGGTACTGGGGATCAAACTCAGATCCTTGCACTTAGAAGGCAGGCACTGGAACCACCGAGCTAAATCCCTGGCCAAGAATGTGATCATTTCAATTAGCAATAATCATGCCACAGATGAACCTCATTGGCTACGATACTGCCACTGTGCAAAGCTAAAATGTGGAAATTTCTACATATTGATTTCTAGTTGCGCTACTTCGTAATGAGAAAAAAATGTTCTGCATGATTTCAGTCTTTTTCACAGGGATCCTCCTGCCTCAGCCTGAGTGCTGGGATCAAGCATGCGCCACCACACCTGGCTTTGTTTTTATGATTTCAGTCTTTTAAAGTTCATTAACTAGTTTTGTGAGGTAACATGGTTTGTCCTTGAAAAATGTGTATTCTGCTGTTGGAGTGCTTGCATATGGCTGTTGGGTCCAGTTGGTTTATAGTGCTACTCACCATCCTTATTTTCCTCCTGAAATTCCCTTGTGGTGGTTCTGTATTATTAAAGGTAGGATACTGCTGTCTCCAAGTGTTACAGTAGAACTGTTTTCTCTTTTAATCCATCAATATTTGCTTCCTATATTCTGGAGCTCTTCTGTACATACAATTGTACCTCGGTGAACTGACCCTTTTATTAATATAGTGTTTTTTTCTCTCCCTTTTTTTCTATTTGTTGTTTTGAGACAGGGTCTTGCTGTGTGTAGTTCTGGCTGGCCTCAAACTTGAGACAATCCTCCTGCCTCAGCCACCCCAGTGCGAGGATTATAGGTGTGCACCACTATGCCTGGCTAACAGTGTTCTTTCTTGACTCTTCTAACAATTTATTGCATTGTATTTTGTCTGAGGTTAGTACAGCCCCATTTCTGCTGTGCTGTGACTGCACGGGCAGCATCCAGTTGATTCTTTTCTTATTTTTAAAACTGTTTTTGCTAGTCTGAGCCTTCTGAATGCAAAGTTTAATTCACTTAAGAGCTTAGAGAAAGCAGGCCGGGGATTTAGCACAGTGGTGCCTCACCTGCCTGGTCAAGCACAAGGGTCTGAATTCGATCTCTGGTACCAAAAAAAAAAAAAA